CTTAGATTTCTGAAAAATAGATACTTCCATAGCATTCTATGACTAATGCTTAAATTCATTTGTGTTCAATTGGGTGCTTCCTGCCAGGGAGGCCTGACCTTGACTGCATATTAGAAGCATCTGGTGGCTTTAAAAAATGATGCTGGTGCCCCATTCCAGACAGTCTTCTTTAAATGGTTTGGAGTATGGCCCAGACATCAGTATATTTTAAAAATCAATTTAGGCGAGTCTAATGGAAAGTAGGGCAGAGAACCACTGCACCTAACCAGTGTTTCCTGAAGTGCAGTCTAAATGGTTTGCCTCCACCAGAATCATCTTACGATCTGTGTTCAAAATAGAGATGACTGTATACCAACACCTACTGAGACAGAATCTATAAGCTCCCTTGTGAGTTTTAGAGAGAATCTTTGCTATTGTGCTGGTATAATTTACTGATCATTTGACAGACTCTCCAGGTAAAGATGCTACCCATGCACTACTTCCCCAGCTGATACTTTGCAATAGCCATTTTCTGATGCACAATTATCTTTTGGAAAGTAAAATAAATAATTACATGTATAGGTGTTCCTGGAGATATATATACACACAGGTATATATAATATATACATATATTATAATATACAGTTAGATATATCTATGTATAATATCTATGTAATACATATTACATAGATATTGGACATATATTACATATATACTATAATATATATTATATATATATACTGGCGATATACACATACACATAGATATATATTTACTCACACACACACATAATGCAGACATTGGCTATATCCTCTAATAGGAATATTCTTGACTCTAGTTTGAAAGGCCTTCTATTTCTTACCCTCATGCTCACAGCAGAGGAGGATTACCTATGGCTCTGTAAAGAAAGTATTATATTATGGGTAAGGATCAAATGGGTGGCTATGTAGAATCAAGTTCTAATGTCCACTGACCAATCCTTAGAAACAAAAAAACCCAGAGACATCAAAAAATACATTTTGAGTACTACTTATAAGACATATTATATATATTTTATAGCCCTGTTGTTATTGGAAACTATTATTGAAATTCAGAGGCTGACAGCCTGCTGAATGCAGAAATCCTATTAAAAAGCAATCTGAAATGCATTTCAGGAGAAATTATTTTTTTACAAAGTGCAGATGATTTCATTTATTCTAAAGGCATATAATTGGAAAGGAGACCAAATTGATATATATTTTTTTACATTATAGCACAAATACATACTTCTTTACTTTAGTTTCAGCATGTATATAGTTTTGAAAAATTCCATGTCAGAAAAGAGTGATTTTTTTCTCTTTTCATGGGCCTTTACAGTATATATATATATATATATATATATATATATATATATACTCAGAATTTTTAAAATGAATCCTCAAGTGAAAACAGAAGCATAAAAAAACATAAGGTATTATTTATTTTGGCCTTGTCTGCACATGTCAGAAAATTAAGACAGTGATGAATTATACATTACTATACAAAATTTTATTATCAGAGGCAAAATTCAAATTTGTTCTGCTTAAAATACAGAAGACAAATTTTCTCATTTAGAAAAATCTATATTATTAGTGCTTGGTCAGAATGGAATAAAAATTTCATGTTGAATACATATTGATTCAATTTTTACTGAATAATTTTAAAGGCATACCATAGAAAACATTTATATGCTAAACTAACATAAGTTTATTATTTGGTAAATGCTTTAGTATCTTGTATTTACTAAAAGGACAGTTATTTTTATTCATAAATCAGAAAACATTAGAAAAGAAAAGAGTGGTTTATTTGGTATATTTTAAATAAATCTGCTCATTTGGGGAGTGACTTTAGGAAAATAAACTTTGTTACTGAATAAATTCAAGTTTGTTAGAAATAGTCCATATAATATTTTTAAAAAGTTATCTGATAAATTCAGTGGTGTCCCAGGAAGCCAATTATGAAAGCCCAATGGTAGAATTTCCCTTATAGTTAAATAAGTGGGCAATGTATTCACTTCTTCATAGTCCTAATCCATTTTAGTTTTGTAATCATGTTTTCAAAGATTATGAAACTGCAAAGAGGTTAAAATATAGCAATGAAAAATGGCAAATATCTTCATATATGATGATGCACAGGTAGCATCTAAACAGAGAATGTGAAATTGTTGTTATACAATATTTTAAAAGTTGAATATAACATTTGAGGAGAAATTCATTTGAAAAATGTTTTGTACTTGAGAAATGGCAGTTCATAACCTTATTTTAAATGAATAACAAAAGCTTAATAATGAATGTTCTCACCCAGTAGGTCATAAGCTATGTAAAGGTGGGAACAGAATTGTGTACATGAGCAAGTGCAATACTATGAACCCAGCAAGGATTAAAAAGGATAGCTACTAAATGATTAACTTAAAAAATAAATGCACTGCACATTCAAAGCAGATGTTCTTAATTCCAGTGTAATATTTTCTATAAAATGTTTCACTCTTTACTTACATGGCATAAAAAAGTGTGTGATTACATGAAAGTTGACCCGTGCAGAGGCAAGTGAAAGCACTTATCTTAGACTGTATCTACACACAGCAGCTCCATTGAAAATGGAACTTCAAGTAAATTAAGCCGTTGCAGTCCATCTACAGTTCTAAGCAGAAAGAGAAAAATACTTCTCTGACCTTATTGCTAAGCAAAAGGAAAGCTCTGACTAGACTATATGTCTCCTCCACATGCAAAGATAGAGGTTTAACCTCCTCTTTGTGGCCCACTGGTGAAAAGCTTTGCAATTCATTCTCCTTTTTTTCACTTATTTTTCATGTCTCATTGGCTGGAGTATCTGTTAATTACCTGCTATAGCTTAAAACCCACTACACAAGACACTAATGTGAAACGTTTTGATGAAAACCTTTTAAAGAATGTATGAAGTCACCTTGTTAAGAAATGAGTGGTAAACCAGAATGCACTAATTAACATTTCTTTCAAATGATCCAATGACAATGATGAAGTGAGCTAAAAATATTTATTCAAATCTCCTGTGTATAGACACTGGTCGATATGGATAAACATATTTTCATTCAGGCTGGAGGCAAATTAGTGACTAATTTGAGCCATACAAGGCTTGGGTTTTCAGAGTTTTGAATCCCAACTAATACCATTAATTAATTATGTAAACTGATAACAACTCAAGCCTCAGTCTATTCTTTGATAAATTAGATCTAATGACATTTTGCAGGGTTGTTAATTGAGATGACACCTATGAAATGCTTGGCATTTAGTAGACACTCAAATTTTGGTTCCTTCCCCATATCCTAACTCATTTAACATTAACACAACACAAAAAACTTAAGTGGGAACAAAATAAAGCAGGAGTCATTTTGTTTTTCTTTTTTCTCAGTGCAGTAATACATGAAGAAAGAATATCCAAAAGATAAATATCTTCAAAAGACTATCCTTAATCTGTTAAATATTCAAAACAAAAGCCATTAAAGTGCCATGTTTTCAAAATCTGGGGTAAAAATCATACGGCCTACTAGTAGTGCCAGTTTGTGAAAAACCTATTTAACAAATAAAATGTATGCAATGGCACACATTAGTATATTTAACATTAGAACATATATTTTAACAACTGTTTAAAACTTCATCTAAACTTTAAAATAAAATTTTAAAATTTTAAAATAAAATAAAAAAATAAAAACTACTAGAGTATATTTTTTAGACTTTTCCTGAATCCATATCATATTAAACAAAATATTTTATTTTTTAAAAAACTTATTCATTAATTCAAAGCAATTAAACTAAAGGCTACTCTTATATAATTAAAATTTGGAATTCTAGAATAATTTACAAGAACATGTTAACACTCAAGTTCACATATACTGATTTGAACAAATAAATTACTGCCTAGGATAAGTATCATTGGATCTGCTTTAAAGAATATATAATTAACTTGAAATTAATACATTGTAAATATACAAGTAGTATGCTAAAACCATTTTAGAAAACTTGATCTGTTTTTTCATAAGTAGACTAGACATTCTTCCTGCAACTTACTGCTACTACTAAATTGCTTGAAAGGTTTTTCTTAAGGGCAAATTCTATTCCAATTCCAATTATTAGGGTTTAAACTATACTATTTTGTTATAATTTCAAAATGTTACATATTTCTGTAAAATACAATTAAGTGCTGTGAAATCAAACAATGAAAATTATACTAAGTACCATACAAGTTTTGAGAACTAGTGTATAAAAATAGTTGCATAATTTTATATATACCTAAAAATCATTTACTTCTTCTGTGTAGCACATAATTATTTTTCATGTTGCCCTTATTCTGACTGGTCCATTATTTCTTTATGGTTTTTTCATTTATTTTGATGTAAATTACTTCAGGCCTTATTCATCTTTGCCTTCCATAAGCAAATTTATTTTGTTTGTGTTAGGAGTCAAATAAAATATGTAAAAGTTTTTTGAAAATGAAATACATTTTATAAATACATGGCATAACCTTAATTACCTTGTAAGATATTATAGTTATGATATTTGTAAATTATACTATTATAAAAATCTGAATCCTGTGATATGACTAGAATAATAGTTCTAGAAACAATAAAAACCAAGGTGAGTTTTAAGGCCCAGCTAAATTACATGTTAGTGACACTCAATAATATACCTAGTATTGTAGATATTAGCCTTGGAGATTGAGATTGTATATTTTAAAAACTTCAAATATTATAAGAAGATTTTTTAAAAAATGGGGATTTTATTTACCAATTACCTGGAGATGTTGAATACTTAATGTGGTAAATAATTTAGTCCTTTCTAATTGAATCCAAGTTTTGCTCTTATACATATATTGGCATAGTAAATTTTTAAGACTGTTGGACTCTTCCAACAATTTGTTATTTCATGCATACATATGATTTGTAAAACAGACAAAGAAGAGAGAAAAGATAAAAACTCTAAGTAGAAAATAGAATTTTATAACTATATTTTACAGAATATTCCAAGAGATATCATTGGTTATTTTATTATTTTGAAAATATTACTTATTTAAACAACTAAAAAATGTTAAAGATAATTTCAACATTGGAAAGGATAAATTATTGAAAAATATGTAGAACAAAAATGTCATCTCAATGTCATTGATATCGCTATACTGTTGAACAAATACTATATGAGGTATTGAACATTGCACATAATTATACACTTAAGATTTGATATTGTAGCTAAATCAGTTGTTCAAGGCCACTAACATACTGAAAGAGGATTACAATTATTAACACTGGGGAGGAAAAAAGAACTATAAAAGTGGTTCTAACTCAAATCTAGAAATGGTAATTTTACTCAAAACAAAAAGCCACAACTACTAAGAATTTTCAGTAATTCATGACACAAAACAAGACATCCACCTCTAATTTTTTATCTTTTCTATTACATGACTTAGTTGGTGATATTATGCATGTTTTATACCTGCACAGGAGTGTGATATTTATTATTGTTATGTTTTAGAACTTTTCCCTTTAATTAAGAATTTCATAAATGTGATGCGTGTAGCTGGATTTTATCCTTTCTGATAGGTGGGATAACTTTTAGATTTTATACTAAGCATTACCATATCTTCTTTACACCACATGGAATACTTAAAATGAATGTATTTGAATTGGATGAAGTGCTGAAAAATCAGGTAGGAGTAATAGGTATTAACTGCTTAAATAATAAAATTCAATTTGGGGTTGTACTTATTCTATGGATTAGAAAATTGCTCTCTTTTCTACCAAATTAAAATAATTCTATGGCTCCAGTTTCTAAAAACTTTAATTTATTTTTCAGTATTCATTGACTATTAGTGTTAGAATATATTTGTTTCAATGATTTGCAAGATTTGGAGGAAAAGAAAATCTCAGGAAGATAGAAAGTGTTCCACAAATATTTGGCTTATGTATAGTAGTTGTATTGGTAATTTATAATGGCAAACTTAAAATATGTTAATTTTGAAGGATCTAAGCAATGTTTGAGGAGCTGACCTACTGGGTGAGAATACCATTTAAAAACATTTATGTTACGCAACACACAGCCATGAAAATGGTTATTCAAAATTCCCAGGTAGAACAGAGTTGTCAGTGCCAAAAGAAAAGTTTTGTACATTAACACAAGAAAAGTAACTTTTCATCTTAAGGGATAGAACAACTGGCATCAAAGGCTATTAAATGTTGATAGACCCAGTTGAGGTATGGCTGCTTAATAGAGGATTAGAGCAATGCAGACAGAAAGACCAACACATGGAGAATTTTTAACTCTCTTGACTACCCCAAATAAGGTGGGAAAACAAGAGGGAAAAATAAACACTTTCTCAGCACTGATAATTATAAGTTTACACTGTTGTTTCATGCAATAGGAAGTCTGACCAAAAATGATGATAGAATCTATATGCAAGGATGCTACTTTGGAGAATTAGAAGAGTAGTTAATTTATACATAAGTTTTGTTTGAATTCATCTTCATGTAGTAGAATAGACCATTGTTCAAGAAGTAGATGGAAAATCCATAATTCTTGAGAAACTTAGGCAATAGGAAGGATAATGTTGAGATAAATTCTTCTAAGCTTTTTCCAAGTCCTTATAAATTTATAAAAAGAAATAAATTTTCTTTGATCTGAAGAGATTCTTTGCACATGTACAGTGTACAACATACTATATACATACGGGGCTTCCCTATGTACATATACATATGCATACACTATCTATATGCCTTTTTAAATGTATACACAGCTTCAACTCAGAAAATGAGTTAGCAACCATATTAATCATTGCCAGACAATCCAAGTGCTGAAATAAGTGACATTGATCACTTACAGGGCTACTTTACCTCTCACATTGCTCAAGACTGAAAATAATTCCCTTTTTTAGTTTTTCTACCATTGCAACACTGATTGTCATATGTAATTTTTGTGCTTTTGTATAATGCCCATCCTGGATGTAACATATATTCACAAACAACATTGGACATTTTAAACAAGCATGCTGGAACACAGGCAGGACCATACATCCATGCACAGAATATTCTGAATATGTTTTGCCAAACTGACTGCAACATCGACATGCATCACTATCATATTTGGTCCTGTACAGCAATGAATGTACAGCTGAAGCAATCATGGCTAGTTTCACTTGCAAGATTTTCTTTAGAGAAGAACACCCAGTAGAGAAACAAAACAGAATGAATGAAACAAATAAAAATATCCCTCAAAACCAAAAAGTTAAAAAAAAAAATTCCTCCCACATGTTAACACTGAAAATCTGGCCATTTTCCATGTAAAACATTTTCCTCATTCCACATTAAAGCAGGTCTTCTCACGAAATTCTGAGTTGAGTTGTTTATAAGAGACATGTATTAGTGTCTCAGAGCTTTTCCTAACCATTGGAAAAGCTCATCTTGATACAGCATTTTCCAGCGCACATTGGCTTCAACAGTTTCCACAGCTCGTGTGAAGGAAGCAGCAGCTACGCCGTCGTAGCTCTTCATGAAGTTCTTTAGCTGAAAACCAAAATTTTTAAACGGTAAATCCATATGTCTTAAAATGAAGTCATCTTCAACATGTATGAACAAGAATCTATTTTAAACAAAGTGCCACAATCGCTACAGAAGGTATCTTTAATATTGTCGAGTGAGCTTGGTAATGAAATGAAATATAACAGATTGTGTCAATTAGATGTGATGTAATTGATTTGGAACAGAAACAAAAAAAGAATGGACATTACAATCTAAATAGCTCCAAATTCAGCTTCATGTTTCATGAATAGACATTAAAACAGACATCTTTGATTTATCTTTTCAAAATAGGTTGATGGGATTGTGGCAAAGACTAGTTATAATTGCAAGGCATATACAGTGTATGAAGTAACCTTAAAAACTAAATATTCACTTTCTGTTTGTAGAGAGAAAATTATTCCTCATCTTCTCCAAGTAAGTAGTATAGGGCTTGACACTCTCTTTAATGTCAAGGGATTATCAAAATTATTGGGTGGGTGGGGGGGAAATGGTGCTATGAAAATTGAATGACATTGCAATCACCTGAGTAACTCGACTTAGAATAAAGGAAGAATATGGCCTCATTTAGCTAGAGAATTTGAGTATTTAAGTCATATTTTTAAATGTTTTGTCATTGTTTTTATTAATATAAGATTTTATTCAGAGAGTTCACATACTCTGGGAATACTCAGTGATTTTACTTCAAGATTAAATACTAGCAGTTTTTCTTTTCTGTTCGACATTTTCTTAAGAAACTGGCAATGGATCGACAATTGTGATGCTAATAGACAAATGTGAAAAAAATCAACTTGCAACACAGAAACATTATGTGGCATAATTAGTGTGGGGTGTGATTCATCACGCGGTGGCGCCACATGGAGGCTGTGGCAGGAGGGAAAAGAATCACATCAAGATTGGCTCAGGGGCAGGGAGAAACACTGGTGTTGGTAGGGGGGTGTTCAAAATGTAGTTCATTGTACCTTTCTGGATTAAATTAGAAATTAGTCCATGGAGAGCTTGGTTTGCTTATGACAGTGTTACTTTGATTACATGATACTTTGATTACATGATACTGATGGCTTTTCTCAAAGTTTATCCTCTACTCTCCTAAAAAGCCCTCTGCCCAGGAGCATTAACAGTAGATAACCGTATCTCAGAGCTATTATATATCCTTTGGAAGACTTCAAAATCACTGTGCTTTTATAGCTAATATTTGAAATAGCCAATGCATAACAAAGAATTATCTGTGCTGTCCTTAAAACTGATTTGACATTTGATCAAATTCACACATATTAAGGAAACAGGAGGAAGGGAAAAGATTGGCATTTATTATCTTCATTATTCCAAGAATCAGGCCACAAATACATATATATTTGTACATATATATAAAATATATATACACACATATATGAAAATCATAATTTTAAACTTTGATTAACACAATAATACATTTATATTTATATATTTATATTCAGACCCATTCAGTCTATATCCTTAAAGCAACAAATAATGCATTTTATCTGGTTTGAATTTTTTGTTTGTTTTATTACAAAAATATAACATTACAATGGCATTATTTACATATTATATGTCAATCAGGAAAAAAATTATATCTACTCCTTTTAAAATATGTTCTGCTTTATTACATTCTTTCCCAGGTAGTCACTGAATACATCAAGTAGTGATAAATGACCCTTTGGCAACTTTAACTCTGAGGAGCATGCCCTTGGCCTCTTTATGAGATAGATGGCAAGCCGGCCTGAACACATGGAGTAAAACTCTTAAGTCCTCCTTCAAGGCAAACTATGGGTTGAAATATGAATGTGTTATTGACACAAGGATAGTAGGTCAGATTATCCTGCAAGAGAATTCTCAATAGAAAATGTAACTGGTGGATCTCTAGAGATTCATTTCTTAAATCACTATTTAAGTGCACTGAATACATCCCTCGTGAGCTCAGAGAGCCTGGGGTGACTCATAAGCATCTTAAGAGGAGCTTATTCATCAGAACACATCTGGCCCACTTTCCACAGTTGCCATAAATTGATCTTATGCCCCATCTTCCTCCACAGCTCTAATGGCAAACGTGCGGTCAGAGCAGCCATCTTGCTAGTCCTAGAGCGTGCTCACAGCACCCTGCTGCACTGAGAGAGCTCACAGTAGATAGATGGAAGACATTTAGCATTCCAGTTTGCTTATTTCTCCAGCTCTCTGATAGGTTTTCTGCTGCCATTAATTATTTTTTATTGTGTTTCCTAAATATTTGTACTATGTTATGCTTTTATTTTAACATGTTGCAAGTTAGACACTTTAAAAAATAACATTTAGTAAGATAGCAGTGTCTTTTGTGCTCTCTGATCTTCTTAGCATAAAACTTCTAGGTATGTCTGTTAATTTCTCTATTTAAAAAGATTTTAGCATTTTAAAAAACATTATTTCAGGGTACCCTCGACCTCAACATTGTAAAATGAACTTTTTAGGGTAAATTGCAAAACATAATATACTTAGTAAGCATATAAATGAATAGAATTAGTTATGGCCCTATTATGAGGTTTCTATCTTCTATTTTAAAACTGTAAATGGGATGTCTGTGATGCACAGGATCTATGTTCCTCTACAACAGTGCTATATATTAGGTATAAGGGGCAGAAAAATAGATGTGTAAAAGGATTGGTTAATGGGCATTAGTGTGGAAAAATGATAATGACCCTCTGAAGTTCCACGAGATTGTATCTCCATTAGTTTAAAATTAAGGAAATGATAGATTGCCTTGTAGAGAAATATTGTTCAAATTGCTAGAGCTATGTAATTAAAAGGAAATTTTAGTTTCAGGTACCAGAATGCAGTCTTGGGGAAGGGACCAGGGAACAATATAAGTTTCTCTGCTGAATGCACCTGAAGCTGGTGTGGATCATTAAAATCTCAAATGAGTTTTCAGAATTCGTAAAGATGCTGATTCTCTTTTGATCTATAAACCCCTGGATATTAGAATTTGCCTATCTAAAGGGAACACATTGGGTTTTCTGCTTATGGGGCTCATGAGTTATGGCAGTAGGCAACTAAATTTTCCTCAGCCCTTTCCTTTTAAGAAAGGGGAATTATTATCAATACAAACCAAAGACCCACCCCACCTGACAAGAGTGTTCCCCAATCCTATAGATGATGATTAGATGATAAAAGTATTAAAAAGCCTCAGGCAGAAAATGTTAAACTATAAAGTCAGAGCAAGGAACTCCTTAGTGAAGGGATTCATCACTCATTCCACTGAGAGTTTGTATTGTGAAGTTAGCTGCTTTGCAGATAATGAAATAAAAGCCACAGTTTAGTTTCAGTTTTGGAATTGCACCTTTCATGATGGGCACATGTTGAAACATCTAAAATGGCAATTAAAGTGTAAAAAAATTAAATATATAAGTGAGATGTGTAAGACAAAATGGTCAGTATGTGATAAAATCAATTAACCACTTCGGTCCAAGCGTCGACTATAGTCGATAGCCACAGATGAACGTGCATGGCTGAGCGTCAACTTTAGCTGACAGCCAAAAGCTTTTACTTTTACAGCTTTTATGTCTGCAGTTGCAGTGTGTATGTTCAGCTAATAAGTTACTACAAATCTGTGACCTTTTAACAAGTCCTTAGTAGGAGCTATAGTTATTTTCCTAAAGCTGCCTGTAAAGTAAAACATGCTTTCAGTGCTTTAAAGCTTTCCTCATCACACAAGAGCAATACAGATTCGTTCGTTGTCAATGCACAGCACAAACTATGGTGTGGACTATGAGTGCCGGCTGTGGGCAAGGTTTCGCGGCTGGTGAGCACCGTACTGAAGTGGTTAAATGTCCATTTAGAAGATTTTTTTTTTCCTATGGCCTGGGTATTACTAAGTCAAGGGAAATATAAAAGGCAGACAGAGTTAGAGGAAAAAGGGAAGAAGGAAGAAGGGAGAGGGCATAGGAGAGAGGTGGGGAGAAGAGGGGCAGAGAAGAGAAAAGAGGGGAGGGAGTATGAAGGGCGCAAAAAGGAGGGAAGAGGAGAGGGAAAGGGGGAGGGATCTTTCACTTCTGTGTTCACTTCAATGGCTGCACTGGTTGTGACTAAATAAGTAAGCCTTTCATTCTCAGGTTATTGAATGTAACATCATGAAATTAAAAGTACTTCATTTAAATACAGAGCAAATTAGAAGGAATCATCAATTTAATTGCTCTTACTTTCTGTTTCCTATGGATATGAAAAAAGTCCTTTCCATTTAGCTTCCTTTATTAATAAAATATAGTAAAAAGTGTTCTGGGGCTTTCAAAACTAAATCCTTCAGGGTTGGGAACACACATAGCAGGGATAAAAGCTGAATTTCAAATCATTACAATCAGAGACTTAGCTTAGCTTAGCTTATGGTGTGAAAGAATCCAACTTAGTGCATGGGGGATGATCATAGGAAATAGCAATATTAGAAGATATTAAGGATGGTGCCAGGGTGGATGCTGCTAGGGGAATGCTGCATGCTGTGATTAGCTCTGGGTCACAGCATAAGGCATTCTGTCAGGGAAAACTGAAGAAGCCATGATTCTCAATGCCAAATATCAGCTGTATTTTATAATGGAAAAGAGCAGCAGAGGAAAAGGCAATAGGATCTTTGAAGCCCAACTCATTGTGATCAGTTAAAAGAATCTATATTTCACTCCGCTTTCCTGCCTACTTATTCCTTCCTATTTCTCATCTCTTATATATGAGTGATGTGAACTAATGGTAAAACAAACAAACAAACAAATCCCCAAACCTAGGTGGTTTAAATTTCCAGAGAAATAAACCAGAAAGAACATAAAAAGGAAATGTTATATACTCTGCTACCTGAACACTACTCCTTAAAAAATCAAGTTTATTTTCATTCATAAAATTCATTTGTGATTGTACCAAGCAGAGTTTTAAGACAAACTATTAATGTTGATATGTATTGCTAGATATGTTTCCTTTTATGCATATGAATTTGTTCCGTTTAACAAGCTAGATAGCATGAAGCATTATTATTATGTCCAGTTATCCATTATCTATTTAGGACTCACCACAAAGCAGTAACACTAATGTTCTATACATCAACATCAACCTCAATCCTTTATATGAATACTGAGTCACTGATGGGACTAAATTAGATTCATAGAATCATTTGAAGAGCAGCTGACTGGCTCAATGATTTCTGAAGTGAATTTTGTATCTCCAGGTTCGAAAATCATTGCATTCAAACAATTTTTGCAGGCACTTAATGTTTAATATGTTAGAAATATCTTCGCAGATAATGAATTCAGTCAAGTCTCTAATATGGAGATGTGGGATGTGTGTGTGTGTGTGTATACGTTTGTATGTGTGTATACGTGGTGTGTATGTGTATAAAAGGGATGAATGTGAATCTGCTGGAAAGAAATGGTTGAAGTAAATGAATAATTTCATATGTTTATAAACAAAAAGAATTAGAACTTAGTTTCAAATATTTACCTCTTTGAGTTCACCTTCAGTATTAAGAAATTCTGTGACTCCACTGATAAGTTTGGAATTCATAAATAATGCTTCTCCATACCTTAAAAGATAAAAAAAAATAGTCTTACTGTCAATACAGGTAGCAGTTTAAAAGATATTACCATAAATATTTCTTAGAGTTTTTCTCAAGGGTTCCATTGACCAATGTTGTCAGAGACTGCCAGATCTCTGAGCATTCAAGGTGGTTTCTCTGGGGAATTAAGGAGGTGAAAAGAGAGAGGTGTGGCTATGGGATACCATCAGATCTCACTTGATTTCGTTCTCAGTATTTCAGAGTAGTCTAAGTTGTGGTAGTTTTTTTTTTTTTTTTTTTAAAAAAGGAGGTCCTCTAATCAGATTTAGGGACTATTAGCATATTTCTAAGCAAAGGGCTGAGAAAGAAATATTTTAAAATTTTCAGCTATAAAGTAACCTAACTCTATGTAAAGGAAAAAGATCCCAACAAAAGAAAGGACTGCAAGACCAACTTGGGCATCATCACTATGTCACACAGAACTTTTGGTCCACTCAGCTATAATTGACATTTGCATTTTCCTATTTCATTCTTAGAAACTGAGCCAAATTTCTCAAAAATGCTCCCCCAGGGGGCGGAGCAAGATGGCGGACAAATAACACCGCCAGACAGAGGGTCTCTGCAGAAAAGACCGATTCTAGCAGAAACTAGAGGAAAGAAGCAAGAAGACGAGCATACAGCGGACAAGGGCCAGAAGGAGGGGTACCTGAGACCCCGGGAGACTCCACGGGAGGAGCTGCGAGGAGAACTGGAGGCTGAGACCACCGGAGCAGCCCGGAGACCAGCGGCAAGGGTAGGTGGATTTGCTGTTTCCCCTCCCCTGCATTCGGGACTGCTGGTGGGCTCCCCAGCGAGGGAGAGACCTGCGGACATCAGCCCAGAGACTGCCGCCGCCTGCCAACGGTGAGCCTGTAGCAGACGTGGCACCAGGTTCCCAACTTCCTCCGGGCACCTCCGTGTGCACGGAGAGCCGCGCGGCAGGCGCCATATTGCCTCCTCCTCCCCTCCGCCGACCCTACCCGCGGCTGCCCAGAGAGACAATACAGCCACCAGCCGGAGGCACCTCCAGGGAACGGGACCTTCCCGTTTGGGACCCCGCCGCCCTCCCAGGTGCTGCTGGCACCGTGTTCCCAGGAAAACGGTGCCGACTCAGAGGCTGAGAGACATAGACCCAGCTTGGGCTCCCTGTGGGTGAATTAGGACCGGAAACCCTCTCCCTGGTGGGAATACAGTTTGAACTCTGGGACCCAGAGGTCGGACCTGCAGACCAGATCCCCTGCACCGAGGGCTAGCATTGCCCGGGCACAGAAGGATTATACGTGAACAAGCCTACTGAGTGTGTGTGCCTCCAGGGCGATCGGCGTCCTAGAGGGCAACCCGCCTCCCAGGAGGAGGCCGTGCGCCCAACCCAGGTGGCGTTCCTGTGCAGGGAACCCCCCCGCCGGCATCACAGTCCGGGGAGGCCTGGTGGCTTGTGGTCTGGCCTGCTGGCAGAGGCTCAGGAGTAGCTGCGGAGTTGGGGAGGGTGGAAAGAAGCGAGGCCTGCTGCAGACTGTGGGTCTCAGACAGCCCCACCCCCACACCCAGACTTTCTGGCTGAGCGGGACCATTCCAGCCCCGCCCTGACAGCAGAGAACAGAACTTTGACCCTGCTAACGGCCTGAGGCAGGCTTACCCAACCCAGCTCCGCCCAGAACGAGAGCTGATAACAGGACTCAAAATCAACACCATAGCCTGTTCCTCCAAGCAAACGCCACCTACTGACAGGGACAGCATCTTGCACAGCCTTTCCACGGCCCCACTGATCAATATACAAGGGAGTGGTCCAATTTCACCCACAGGCACCACCTAACGCCTCAGAAACTAAACAAGGTGTGTGAATACCCAAACAATAACCTAAGGAAAGAAACAACAACTGATCGACATGGGAAGAAATCAGCGAAAGAACTCAGGAAATATGAAGAACCAAACGGAAACACCACCCCAAGGAGGAGCACCAGCCCCTAGAAATGGACACCGACCAAAATCAGCAACCAATATGACAGAAGAGGAATTTCGTATGTGATCATAAGAACACTCACCCAGCTGCAACAACAACTCAAAAACCAACACCAAGAAAACACAAAAAAACTCCAGAAATGGACAAAGGTTCAACAAAGAGATTGACACAGTGAAGAAAACTTTAACCGAAGTCCTGGAGATGAAGAATCAACTCAGAGAACTACAAAATACTGTGGAAAGTCTCAAGAACAGGGTAGATCAAGCAGAAGAAAGAATCTCAGAGCTTGAAGATAACACCTTCCAATTAAATAAATCAGTCACAGAAATACAGCAGAGAAACAAGAGAAAAGACCAAAGTCTACAAGAGCTGTGGGATTATGTGAAAAAACCTAACGTGAGGGTCATAGGTTTAGCCGAAGGGGAGGAAGACAACACTCAAGGGCTGGACAAGCTTTTTGAAGATATAATAGAGGAAAATTTCCCAGGTCTTGCTCAAAATCTCGATATACAAGTTCAAGAAGCCCAGAGGACCCCTGGGAGATTCAATGCAAACAGGAAGACGTCACGTCATGCAGTCATCAGACTGACCAAAGTATCAACTAAAGAGGCCCTTCTAAGAGCTGTAAGACAAAAGAAGCAAGTGACATACAAGGGAAAGCCAATTCGAATAACATCAGACTTCTCTAATGAGACTTTACAAGCAAGGAGAGACTGGGCCCATTCTCACTCTTTTGAAACAAAACAATGCCCAGCCTAGAATATTATTCCCTGCAAAACTAAGCTTCATATATGAAGGAGAAATAAAAACATTCGCAGACAAGCAAAGGCTCAGAGAATACACCAAGACAAGACCAGCCCTACAAGAAGTACTTAAAACAGCGTTATGCACGGAACATCATAATAATAATCCACGGATATAAAAACAACCAAAACCCAAAGATATTAAAGGCCAGATATTACAATGGCTCAAGACACAAATCATAGCAACAACATCCAACCCAACAGAATGATCAGTAATCTACCTTACCTATCAGTTCTCTCAATAAATGTGAATGGCTTAAACTCTCCACTCAAGAGACATAGGCTGGCTGAATGGATAAGAAAATACAGGCCAAGTATATGCTGTCTTCAGGAAACACATTTAACCTGCAAGGATGCACATAGACTAAAAATAAAAGGGTGGAGATCAATATTCCAAGCAAACAGAAGCCAAAAGAAGGCTGGTGTGGCAGTTCTAATTTCAGACGATTTAGTTTTTAAGCCAACAAAAGTAGTAAAAGACAAAGAGGGTCATTATATAATAGTGAAGGGCACAGTCCAACAAGAAGAGATAACAATTTTAATATATATGACCCAACTTAGGTGCACCCAGATTCATAAAGCAAACCTTACTGGAGCTAAGCAAATGGATTAATAGCAACTCCATAATCGCCGGGATTTCAACACCCACTGACGGCACGAGACAGATCTCCAAACAGAAAATTAATAAAGAAAATAATGGACTTAAACAAAACTCTAGAACAATTGGGTCTGACAGACATCTACAGAACATTCTACCCAAAATCCACTGAATATACGTTCTTCTCATCAGCTCACGGGACATTCTCTAAGATTGACCATATCTAGGACACAAAGAAATCTCAGAAATTTAAAAAAATAGAAATCATACCATGTACCTTCTCAGATCACAGTGGAATAAAACTAGAATCAACCCTAACAGAAACTCACATTTCTACACAAAAACGTGGAAATTAAACACCTCCTACTAAATGATTACTTCGTAAATGAAGAAATCAAGACGGAAATAAAAAACTTCTATGAAGAAAACGACAATGGAGAGACAAGTTATCAACTCCTCTGGGACACAGCTAAAGCAGTTCTGAGAGGAAAGTTTATCTCCATAAATGCCTATAACCAAAAGGCAAGAAGATCACAAATAGACAATCTAATGAAACGACTCAAGAGCTGGAAAAAGAAGAACAGACCAACCCAAACCCAGCAAAGAAGTGAAATCAACAAGATCAAATCAGAACTAAACGAAATTGAAAACAGGAAAGCTATTCAGGAGATATAAAACAAAAAGTTGGTTCTTGAAAAAATAAAAAGATTGACACGCCGTTGGCTAGCTAACGAAAAGCAGAAAAGAGAAATCTCTAATAAGCTCCATCAGGAATAAAAAAGGAGATATCACAACTGATCCCAAAGAGATACAAGATACAATTTATGAATACTACAAAAATTTATGCACACAACTGGAAATGTGGAGGAAATGGACAAATTTCTAGAAACACACAGCTCCCTAGGCTCAACCAGGAAGAAATAGTTCCTGAACAGAACCAATCTCAACAGCTGAAAATAGAAACAGCATTAAAATCCCCTAAAAAGAAAAGTCCCGGTCCAGATGGCTTCACACCTGAATTTTACCATACTTACAAAGAAGAACTAGTACCTATCTTGCAGAAACTATTCCACAACATCGAGAAGAACGGAAACCTCCCGACACCTTTTATGAAGCGAATATTACTCTGATACCAAAACCAGGAAAGGATGCAACAAAAAAAGAAAACTACAGACCCAATCCCTAATGATATAGATGCAAAAATTTTCAACAAAATCTTAGCTAACGAATCCAGACACTTATCAAAAAAATAATCCACCACGACCAAGTGGGCTTCATCCCAGGGATGCAGGGATGGTTCAACATAGTAATCTATAAATGCAATTCACACATAAACAGAAGCAAAACAAAGACCACATGATCCTTTCAATAGATGCAGAAAAAGCTTTTGACAAAATTCAACACCCTTTCATGATACGAACACTTAAGAAAATAGGCATAGAAGGGACATACCTAAAAATGATACAAGCCATATATGACAGACCCATAGCCAACATCATACTGAAGGGGAAGATTGAAATCATTCCCACTTAGAACTGGAACAGACAAGGCGGCGCCACTATCTCCACTTCTGTTCAACATAGTGCTGGAAGTCTTGGCTACAGCAATCAGACAAGAAAATGGAATCAAAGGTATCCAAATAGGGCAGAAGAGATCAAACTTTCACTGTTTGCTGATGATATGATATTGTTCTAGAAACCCCACGGATTCAACCAGAAACCCTGGAACTGATCAATAATTTAGTAAGTCTCAGGATACAAAATAATACACAGAAATCAGAGGCATCATATACGCCAACAACAATCTAATTGAGAACCAAATCAAGACTCGATTCCCTTCACAATAGCAACAAAGAAACTAAGTACTAGGAATATATTTAACCAAAGAGGTAAAAGACCTCTACAGGGAGAACTATGAAACACTGAGGAAGGAAATAGCAGAGGATGTAAACAGATGGAAATCCATACCATGCTCGTGGATCGGCAGACTCAATATCATCAAAATGTCTATACTACCAAACTGATCTACAGATTCAAGCAATACCTATAAAATCCCATCAGCATTCTCACAGATATAGAAAAAATAATTTTACGCTTCGTATGAACCAAGAAGACCCGAATATCAAGAGCAATCTAGGCAACAAAACAAAATGGGAGGCATTTATATGCCAGATATCAAACTATACTACAAAGCTGTATAATTAAAACAATATGTATTGGCACAAAACAGGAATATTGACACAGTGGAAAAGATGTGAGATCTGATATAAACCATCCTCATTAGCCATCTCATCTTTGACAAAGCAGACAAAAACATACGCTGTGGGAAAAGAATCCCTTCAATTAAATGGTGCTGGAAAACTGGATAGCCACCTGTAGAAGGCTAAAACAGGACCCACACCTTTCACCTCTCACAAAAACCAACTCACGCTGGATAACAGACTTAAACCTAAGATATGAAACTATTAGAACTCTAGAGGAAAAAGTTGGAAACACTCTCCTAGACATCGGCCTGGGCAAAGAGTTTATGAAGAAGTCCCCAAAGGCAATCACAGCAGCAACAAAAATAAATAAATGGGACATGATCAAACTACAAAGCTTCTGCACAGCCAAAGAAATAGTCATGAAAGTAAACAGACAGCCTACAGAATGGGAGAAAATTTTGTATCCTATGCATCCGATAAGGACTGATAACTAGAATATACTTAGAACTCACGAAAAATAGGAGAAAAATCAAATAACCATTAAAAGTGGGCAAAGACTTGAACGAAAAATTTTTCTAAAGAGACAGAAGAATGGCCAACAAACATAGAAGAAATGCTCAACATCTCTAACCATCAGGGAAATGCAATCAAAACCACAATGAGATATCACTTAACCCAGTGAGAATGGCCTTTATCAAAAATCCAAACAATAAATGCTGGCGTGGTTGTGAGAGAGAGGAACACTCCTACACTGCTGTGGGACTGCAACTAGTTCAACTCTGTGGAAAGCAATATGGAGATACCTTAAAGCGATACAAGTGAATCTACCATTTGATCCAGCATCCATTGCTGGCATCTACCCAAATGATCAGTGACACTCTACAAAAAAGACACCTGCACTCGAATGTTTATAGCAGCACAATTCATAATTGCAAGGCTGTGGAAACAGCCCAAGTGCCCATCAATCAAAGAATGGATTAATAAAATGGTATATGATACCCATGGTATCAGCTCTAAGAAACAATGGTGATATAGCACACCTATATTTTCCTGTTAACCTGACCCACTAAATGAATTCCCAAAAAAAAAAAAAAAACACCAAATGCCCCCCAAAACTTTAATATACACTATAACAATATGTCATTAAAATGCAAGCGGCGGGTATATATACATAGTGAGTGAGATGTGCACCATTGGGAGGTCATGATGGAGACAAGAGGGAATGGGCTATTGAAACCTTAAATCTGTACCCTAATACAAAAAAAAAAAAAACCTAGTGAAAAAAAAAATGCTCCCCCAAATATTAGCTTTTTTGTTCATGTGGGTATTAAAATAAAATATCTAGTCATTGATTTGAATGATATAATCCTTGTACCACAGATACAATTACTTGACTTTGATACAGGCAAATAACGACTTGTGCCAGCAAGATGGAAAGAATTCTCATTCTACTGATTTTTCCTTAATATGTTAAAGATACCTATCACAGGCTATCATTCTCTTAGAACTAAAGTAAGTACACTAAAAATAAGACTCTGGGATTTTAGAAGCAAAGGTCCAGCCAGTGTTATGAGAGGTTTTCTAATACTTCCCTAATATGAGATTTTAAGTAACTTAGATTCTGGAGAATTGAGTTTTCTCATCAATAAAATGAGGGGACTGAACTGGATGACCATTGTGATTTGTTATAATTCTACCATTTAATTATGGTAGAATAAGGAGAAGAGGAGAAAAGGAGAAGCCTATGTAGACTTCTAGGTGTTTGGTTTGAGTGATCAGTCAGATCACAAATTTACTGAGAAAGAGGACAAGGGGAAAATCATGGATTTAGCTTTTCAGGCATACTCCAAAAGAGGAGCTCCATGGGCAATTGTCTATCACGGGGTGAAGCTTAGGTGAGATGTCTCAGTTAGAGACATAGACTTGGGAGAGATTGAAACCATGAGAGTAGATGACAACTAAAATCAGGAAGAACCTACAGAGTGGGCAGAAAATAGTATCTTGGACAGAGCCCCCATGAACTCTGATGCTCAAGGATTAACAGAGGAATAGGAGCAGATGAAGATGCTCCTATTTCTCAAGATAAACACTATCATATTTGTAGATAACCTGAAACCTTAACCTTCCTGCCTTTTGGGTAGAGATCATAAACTCTCAGTGAGATAAAATAGGCATACCAAGAAGAAAACATTTTTTGTAAGGCAATAAATAATATATGCCTATATATGCATTGCATTGAACTCTGAACTACAACACCACTCTTGAAAGAAACTGTGTATTGCTAGATATTTGAAATTTTTAAGTGAAATGCTTATATACATTAATTTTACCTTAAGTGTATGACTATTCACTCATATCCATAACAAAGCAAGCTCTAATATTCCAATTATTCTAATTTCTGAACTGAAAATATAAAAAAAAGTCAATATGTCTCATAAGAATATCAGTGCTTTTTGACAATGAAATGTCTGTAGATAGAAATGTGTTTTGATATGGTAATCCATTCCAATTAAACTCATCATACCAGGGCAACTGATAAAGGTGTGCTTAAAATAATAAAGTTTATATGTCAGCTTTTAAGAGAAAGAACAGTAGGTCTGCTTACTGTCCAGGAACATTTAAGGTAGAGAAAAACATGAAGCATCTACATGCTGTATAATAAATTTAATTTTAAAAGACCTTAGAGATTATCAGAGTAATAAATTAGCATGTATTATAATATATTTAAATACATAATGAAATATTTTTTAAAATTGAGGCTAAAGAATTCTCAGCATGAAACAAGATGTCCTGGGAATAAATTTTACTGCAACTGGAAACATGCATTGATTCAAATAATTAATGTTCCTTCTCTACATTATGGTTTTATTATAGGTGTTTTATGATATTCATATTTAAAGAAAATTTAAAACAATTCTACAGAAGTAATTAAAGTTTTCTTGTTATAATACCTTTGTACATGATTTATAAATTATTTTTCTATAACATGTTCAATCTATAGAGAGTTTTATGATATGATTTGTTCAACATTGCACAGTTTGATACATTCTCCAGAAAAGTTGCTTGGGTAAATCTTTTGCATTTTGCACATTTCCACATATAATTAATTAAGGAAATCAATCTTTAATGCATGAATAATGTTATAGAATCATTAAAATAATTCTTAGTTTCACAGGAGTGGCAAGCCCATCTTGGTTGAATATTTTAAAATCTAATCTTATTGTACATATCTTAGATGTAACACAAAAGTTGGCCCTTTATTCCTCATATGTCAGCTTTAATTTACTCACTCATGTATGAATGATTAAATTATTATTTCTACCTGGTATTTAATATCTTCCATTTATCTCTGAAAAACTTCCAGGCAAGGTCTCGGCCATGTGGATTTCGAGCTACATGGATTATGACATCGATTGCATCTTGATCCAGAACCACCTCAGAATTCAGTGACAGATTTAGAAGCCTATAAGAATAGAATTGTGGAGAAGTGTTTAGTCTAATAACTTAAACATTTTTATAATCTTACTAGAATTATATGATCTAGTTTGTCATATTCTTCAAAGGAGTAGTTCAGTGCAAACTTTACTATTATAAATTTATCAATAGAACAAATTTCTGTTCATAAAAGAAAGAGGATCAAACTCATAGTATTTTAATTAAATAGATTAATTCAACTCTAAAAATCTTGTGGATGGAGAAATCATAATTCTGATCCGATAATGCAAATTCTTTATAGCAAACACTTCATCTTATAATGAAATATTTTCTTACATATGTATATAAATCATATAAAATAATTAGTCATTAAGATATAATCTCTCTTTAGTCATGCTAGCATGGCAGTCTTATCTGTAGGAAGATATATTTTAAGATAACTAACATATAATCAAGAAAACAAAAGCAACTTCAGAGCAATTTGATTAACAGGGAATACTTACATTGCACAAATAAATTTAGAAAATGAATTGGCCTACCTATTTAATAAATTTCTGTCATCACTGCAAGTTAAGGCCTCCAATAATATTTTCTTCTCAGAAATTGCTGTGGTAGAGTGGAATTTCATCCATATGAATTCCCAGACGTCCTCATCCAGTAGTGACACTCCTGTACAGTAGACGATGTCTCTAACATTTAGTGGTATTCTAAAGAAGCAACCCATGGTGGTTTTCTGTTAATCAAAAGCTTCATAGTATTGAAAATAAAGACGGATGTTGCTTTACTACAGTCAGTTTTTAAAAAGATAATTTTGTTAATTCGATTTTACCTAAAAGAGAATGATACTCTATAGTAATAATATTCAAATATATGGTTGACTGACTGAATAAAATAATGCTTTTATTTAAAGGTTGTTTTGAATGTAATTTGTGTTTCCATGTTGAAACTTTGTTTATATAAAAACAGTAAAACAAAAGATTTGCAAACCAATAAAAAGAAGATAATTTTTATTTTCACCAACACTAATAGACTTAATCTCCAAAGATTTTGCTATCATAATTGGTAGACCCAAGAATAACAAGAAAACACTGGTTTGGATAAAACAGAAACATTTTCTACTACATTCTTTGGTAACTTTTTATAAAAGTATAATTTCCTGAAATACTTTCCAAATTTTGAAACCTAGAAGATCATAAATACAGATGATAAACAGATAATAAAACATAAGTAGCAAATTATGAGAAGCCAAAAAGATCTTTTCCCCATGTTTCTAAAAATGACTATTAAAATATACTAATATTTGACTTTGACTCCAAAATGCAGTATTAATATTATAGTGAGCAACCATAAGTCAATTTATTAGGCCTGGTTATTCATCAATTGTAAATTTTCATGTCGATTTTGACATAGCAATATTTTTACTAAATATTATTCCTTTAAATTTCAGTGTATACTCCACATTTACTGACTTTTTAAAATGTATTTCTGAAAGAATGCTCCAATACTATGAAAAAGTTTAAAAATGTAATTCTGCTTTTTGCAATTGTCATTAGTCTACTATTAAATTTTTCATTTATAATTTGAATGGGGTTAATAATTACAAACTGCTTTCTATGGATAACAAAAAGAAATAATGGCTTTAAAAGATTTTTGGACCTCAATGATTAAAATACTTCCAATGGTCAAAGGAATATTTGGCAAACAGGAGGAAGTGTCTCAGCAACTACCAGTAAGATGATCTGAATCTCATTTTGTTAAATGGCTAAGAAGGACTACGATCAGGGTATTATGATATTATACCAAATGTGTAGAATTGTTAAGACATATCATACAAAATTCACAGTTCCCAGGAAAGGCTAAATATATAGCATTCCATGTTTTCCTACAAATAATTAAAATATTTGGAGAAACGTTACTTTAACTTTGCTAACTCAAGCCATTTTTCTTTGTGGTATCAGCAAACAAGAATTTTGTTCATTTGGTTGGTTTTTAAAGAAACAAAAGGAACACAGACATAGAATGAACCATTAAAGTGCATCATATCTTTCTTCTGTCTTCCATCTTGCCCTAGATCCCCTATAAAAAGTACCAATAAAAGTTTTCCCAATGATTGGTGACATGTTTTTTCCCTGCTGTGTTTATGACCAGATTGCCACAGGGCATACCTAAAATCAGTAAGGAAAGCAATGCATTGCCACAACATTTTGAAGAGTGTGCTCAATCCTGGAGAGACAATGTAAGATTACAAAGATGCCTCCATCTTTACCTATTTCAACAAGAAATTTAAGAGATCTTGTCTTTCTCTAAATCAACAGTTATAAAAGACAAGTCTTTTCCTCCAAATATTATAGGTTACAGAACACAACATTGAATTATTGCATGACTTTGGCCAAGAGATTGATATAAAAACTTATAAGAAAAAAAAAACAATAAAATATCTACTAAAATTACTAACTTATCGATCAATGCACATTTTTATCATATTAGGTATGATAGTAACAGATTACTTTCTAAGGGAAATTATTAAGCTATTAATATAGCAAAACGAATATAAGGATAGAGTCTGTTAAGTTAGGTTTATTATCACCTATAGAACCAGTCTCCAGTATCAACAGTTTCAAGCAAAAAAGGCACATAGAAATATAAAGGAAAAATGTAGCAGCAGATATTAAACTATGATGCCTGCAAAATACTTGAGTGCCACATAGTATAGTCACCAGTAAAAGTCTATATATTAATATTTGTTATCCAGTAGGTGCTATTGGCTGATACTGAACAATATAAGACACATATACAAATGAATAAAATGCTTTGTCCAGTCCAAAGCCCTGTACACTGGCTACTGAGGCATTAGAGATAGAAAATAACTTTTTGTGCAATACTGTGTTCCAGTTTACACATCTTATTGTATTTAGCACACATAATAGTATCTATATTATTACAATTATTTATATCTGCATTTGCATATCTTTATTATCAACTTTTTGCAGCATAGGGAGCTCCATTCTTAGGATATTTTGTACTATAAAAACTGTATTGTAAGTTGAGAATGATCTATACATGAAAATCTTTCCTATTTTTCTCAGCTTAGAGAAGGCTAATGACCATAAAAACAAGACATACTGGTTTCTGTTAGTAGTAATTATTAGATTATTATCACTGAATACTGCTTTCTCTTGCTCAATAAACCACTACATGATAGAAAGTAAAAACAATAAAAATTTTAAGTAAAAAGTAGTCAATCCTTTTTAAGTGTCATTTTTTTCTTTAAATTTCATTTTATTGTGGTAAGAACACCTAACATGAGTTCTACCCTCTTAACAAAATTTTAAGTGTATAATACATTATTGTCAACTATAGGTAAAATGTTGTACAGCAGATCTTTAGAGATTATTCATCTTGTTTAACTGATACTTTATGCCCTATTTGTAATTAGTAAGTCCCTATTTTCCCCTCCCTCCAGCCCCTACCAACCACAATTCCACTCTTTAATGTTATGAATTTGATAATTTTAGAAATTTCATATATGTGAAATCAGAAAGTATTTGTCTTTCTGTGACTAGCTTATTTCACTTAGTATAATGCCCTCCAGGATCATCAATGTTGTCCATGTCGCACAATTTCTTTTTTTAAAAGGAATAGTATTTCATTGTATGTATGTACCATATTTTCTTTACCCATCCATCTGTTCATGAACATTTAGTTTGTTTCCACTGGTTACTGTGAATAGTGTTGCAATGAATAGGGGAGCGCTAATATGTCTTTGATATCTTGATTTCTTGATTTATCTTTTGGATAAATATGCACAAATTGGATTGCTGGATCATATGATAATTCTATTTTTTATATTTTGAGAAATCGCCACACTGATTACTATAGCAGCTGCACCATTTTACATTCCTACCAGTAGTTTGCAAGGGGTCTAATTTTACCATATCCTCTGCAACACTTGTGTTTTGTTGTTTTGAAAATAGCCAACCTGAAACATAAGGTGATATCTCATTGTGGTCTCAATTTGCATTTTCCTGATGATTAGTGATTTTTTTCTTATAATTGTCAGCCATTTCTATATCTTCTGTGGACAAATATCTATTCAATTCCTTACTCCCTTTAAAAAATCAGATTAATAGTTTTTAGTTATTGTGTTGAAAGAGTTTCTTTTATACTTTGGAGATTGACCCCTTATCTTAATGTATGGTTTGCAAATATTTTCTCCCATTCTGTAGGTTGTCTTTTCACTCTGTTGATTGTTCCTTTTGCTGTACAGAAGCTTTTTAGTTTGATGTAGCTCTACTGTTTATTTTTCCTTACATTGCCTGTGCTTCTGATGTCATATCCATGAAATCATTGCCAAGACCAATGTCATAAAGTTTCCCCCTATGTTTTCTTTTAGAAGTTTACAGTTTCAGATCCTACATTTAAATCTTCAAATCCTTTTGAGTTGATTTTTGTGTATGTTGTAATACAAAGGTCCAATTTCATTTTTTCTTTTGGGTGTGAATATCCAGTGTTCCCAGCACTGTTTGTTGAAAAGACTATCCTTTCCCTATTGTGTGTATTTGACACCATGATTGAAGAAGAGCAATTGACCATATATGTGTGGACTTATATGTGGGCTCTCTATTTTGTTCCATTGATCTATACATCTGTCTTTATGCCAGTACCATACTATTTTGACTACTGTAGCTTTGTAACATATTTTGAAATCAGGAAGTGTGATGCCGCTAGCATCATTCTTCTTTCTCAAGATTGATTTTGCTTTTCATGGTCTTTTGTGGTTCCATATGAATTGTAGAAATCTTTTTTCTATTTCATTAAAAAATGCCATTGGGTTTCTGACAGGGATTTCATTGAATCTGTAGATGACTTTGGGTAATATTAATATTTTACAAATATTAATTCTTCCAGTCCATGAACATGGGATTTTTTCCATTTGTGCCTTCTATTATTTCTTTCAACAATGTTTTTAGTTTTTAGTATACAAATCTTTTTATTTTATTTTATTTTTTTTTAAATTTTGAGATAGGGTCTCACTCTGCCACCCAGGATAGAGTGCATATCATAGCTCACTGTAACTTCAAACTACTGGGACCAAGAAATCCTCCTGCTTCAACTTCCCTAGTAGTAGTCCCAGGTGGCTAGACTGTGGCAGACCTGTCAGAGCTCCAAGATTGGTAAAGCAGTTGCTCATTCTTTGGGCACAGCCAGAAAAGTTGGAGCACAGGATGCACAGATCAAATCTTTCTCACTCCCTAGCCGTGAACTGGGATTTTTTGGCCACTCCTGTGCTGAGCAAGAGGAAAAACTATGGAGTCTCTTAGCTCAAGACACCATCTATATTCTCTCTCAGATAGCTAGGCTGTTACAGATCCTTCAGAGCTCCAGGACAGTCAAGACAGAAGCTAGTTGTCTGGCGAGCCCTTTTGAAAATGTTGGGGTACTTTATGCAAAGTTCTCTTCTCTCCCCTGAGCAAAGCTGGGAGCTAGGGCATCTCTTCCTGGTCATATAACTCTGTGCCAGGCCGTAGAGATTCTGGTGAGTGTGTGTCCTCGATCACTCTCTGGCTTTGATGAGTCTGGGTTCACATCCCCTAGTGGTGCAGGAAACTTTTGATTAGTTTCAAGATTTCTCAGAAACAAATTTGTCCATATATTGTTGCTGAATAGGTGTGTTTATGGGTGTAAGGAAAGTAGAGCTTCCTATTCC